ATTGGTCATTTGAAGCATCATGGTCACCCAAAGCACATTTACCGCATGGGGTGCGCAAGCAAGCGTAGGGTATGTAGCAGCTGCAAAACCTAAACCTTAAACACCAAGCCTTGCATCCTACACCCTAGCCTAGGGTATCCAAGTCTGTGAATACATGATACTCTGGGCGCTACAGTCGGTGAATTGTCCCGATTTGGAGCTAAGTACATCCCTCGGGCTAGCAATGTAAACTCGCCATTGTAAATTAACATTGGCTGCAGGGCAGTCTGGGCAGCATCCGCGAACACGTGCGGCATGTTAGGCACCATAGGTCACCCAAGGAGGACTACGTAACTCATTGCTTGATGTTTTTCATGATTCTGCAGCCATAGGGTGTTTCAAGACACCATAAGATGTAGTTTCTCTCAGCAGCTACATGCACCTCCGTTTGCTAACGCTGCACCCATCAAACCTACATCCCACGCCGCTAAAGCCAGAGCCAAACCCCTTAACCAACAGTTTGGAGCTAGGGTTTGGGGGCTTGAGGTCCAGGAACTTGTTTTCGAGGCTTATAGATGTAGTGACGATTTGCCCGCTATGTATGACATCCGTGACATCCGGGTCACCGGACAATGAACACTACAGCTAAGAGCCTGAAGAATCATAAAGTGGGTCAAGCCTAGTCATGTTTGTTGGTAGTGCTTTGCTCTTCCTCTTGCGGCTAATCTCAGTGATGCGAACGCTGCTACGTTTGCTAACGCCACCAATACTAATAGTCATAATACCAGTAATAATAGTCATAATGGAGTAATGATAGGACTAATAGGAATACTAGTAATAATAGCAATAATAAACCCCAAACCCCTAAACCCTAAATAGTAACAATAGCAGTAACACAATACCAACCGAGGAATTGGCCAGATCTTCTCTCTGCATCCGGATTGCCCCTGCGAGCAGTTGCAGGTTTCCAGCTTGGGCCCTCGAGCTCTCGGGAGGCGGGAAGGGAATCAATGTTAGGGAGATTATAGGACATTATAGGGATATATCCTGGGAGAATATTTTCGGGATATATAGGGTTTCGGGATCCCTTATACTTTTGGGGGTATGGGTTTCCTTATAGCTATGTAAAAGGATCCTTTTTCTTCCTAGGGTAATGTGATTTGAGGGAAGGGGAGGTGGGCGGGTGGAGGAAGTGTTCGGTTTGGGGTTTTCACCTGTGCTGTATTTGTGAACTTACAGTCACTGAAAGAGGCGCATAGTCATCAACAGGATATCCTGCAGTGACTTATGTACAGCGTAGTCTGTGTAACGCGGGACCGCGCGGAGATGGGCAATTCACCATGTCAGCTATTGACCCCTTCAAGTACCTAGCCGCAATCTTGAACAATTAGGCCAACATGTTTGAGGCTGAGGTGCAAAGCACGAAATTTAAATCCTCTCTATCTCATGCCTCATGCCTCAGATGCGAATCTTCTGCTCCCTAACCCTTGTGGCCTGTAGCCCCCGAATCCCAAAGCCCTCGAACCACTAAACCCTCAGGTCTTGGATGTTTTCCTCCTCTTCTTCCTGCCTTTGGTCCGATTTCTGAAGCTGCTCAGGCGGGCAAAGGATGCGAGATCAACGGATGTATAGCCACCTTAAGTGTAAATAGAATGTGGGATCTGATTATAGTTTAGACAAAGCCATATTCTACATACCTAAGGGGGACTATAGGGGTTAGGCTTCCGCATTCAGAGTCTAGGCATGTTGGATCTAGCTTTCCGGGAATTTTCGACTTTGGGGTTGGGGCCGTCAAGGCAGTTCCAGGTGGAGTCACAAGCTTTTCATTTCGGGTTGTGATTGCAATTGCAGTGATCCTACTCCCAGTCCCTCTTAGCCTCCGGGCTTTAAAAACATTTCAGATCGTAAGAGCTATAGTCTGGACTGGTATCACCCTTAGTAACCCCTATAGTAGTCCCCTAGATACTCCGTAATACAAGGAATTTAGACCCTAAACCCTAAATCCTAAACCCCTTTAAGGAATTTAGACTATAGCTCGAAAGTATGAAGGCTAAAATCTAGGGGTTTTAGGTTTAGGGGGTTGAGGGGTTTAGGGAGTTGGGGTTTAGGGGTTTAGGGGTCTAGCGATTTAGGGTTCAGGGTTTTGTCTTCGATCACGCGGGTCATGGGTTTCCGGCGGTATGTTTTGATGGGCCCTCGTTTTCAGAGGCATTCTCTTTATCGATGAAGGAAATCTTGCACCACCTAGAGGCCCCACAGATTGTACCTCCTATGACATTAGAGACCAAAGGTGTTGCAAGACTTCCACCATCAACAGGAGGGTCTGAATTGTCAATGTTTGGGATTTTGGGTTTGCGGTTTATGGCTGGAAGCCTGAGTAATCAGGGGAAGTATCTTCAGAGGTCCGTGTCTGAAATTCGAGTTCATATAGGGGCGCGCCCCAAATTCAGAGTGCAAATTTATATAGGAATGCTGAATACCCGTTGTTATGACATTAACGACAATGCTGGTTTCAAAGGAAGGGTTCAGCAACAAAATCGCAAGTGGAAACTCTACTGTTTCATATTGCCGTTGGAATGGGGCCACGCAGAAGAAGTGCCACCCAAATGGGTAGATCTCGCAGATGGTTTTTCCTCAAGCTTAACCCTGGATGATGAGGTCCAATCCGTATAACCTGTTGTTTAGGAGTTTTTAATCATACTGTAAAGGATCCAAACCATGGAACTTTGGGCCCACTGATATGACCCTGCCTGTTTTTGAGCTCTAACTACGGGCTCTTAATTGGGTTTGTAGGGCTGAACATGTAAACCAGATGGAAAAGTGCTTCAAGGTATATAAGGACCCTCGGATTAAGGGCCAATACTAGCGGCCCACAGCTTCAATAAGTTGAAATCAAGTACCACTTTAAAAGACCTCCTGATTTTCCAAACATCCAAGTATGGTCATTCAATTACCCAGTGTCTCGTAGCGAAGTCCTTTATATACCCAGAACCTCCTCTGTAGTTCCTTTATGGCTTGTATATTATAACTTCTTGCAAGAGCTGTAACAAACCCAGAAAGGAACCACATAGGAGCGTCCAGTCCTCGCAGGTACTTCGAAATTTTCCGGCTCTTGAGCGAAGCCATGTATAAAACGGTGGAGGCATTGCCTTTCCTCAGTTACTGCGCCTTCATTATTCAGATTTTAGGGTTGCAGGTTCAGGATTTAGGGATGAGGGCTCATCTTACCTTACAGGTGCTTAAGGGGTAGGGAGGAATGCATATATGTATATCTATATATATATATTGGACTGTTACAGAGATATACATGCGCATGTATGGCAGCTATATGGGGATGATTATAATGATCCTGAAAAACTACGACATGGGGATCCGTTCTGCTCCTCCGTTCCCAACTAAACCACCCTAACCCCCAAACTTACCGGTTCTTAGGTTCTTAGTAGGGAGTAGTATGAGGGAATATAGTATAACCCCTATATAGTATACTCCCATAGTCCCTACTAACCCCCAGTAAGTAAACCGTCCATGTGCAACCAAGACTGAGTAGGCCTAGTGGTTGGAGTTGGGTTCGGCGTTTGGGGCATAGGCATAGGGTTAAAGCCTCCGCACAGAAGATAGTGTCCAAACATGGGGCACGACTGGTGGAACTCCCTGGATTCCTTTACTCTACGCAATGAGCTGCTTAATTGAGGAGGCCTTACAGGGGGACTATACCCTAAACTAAACTGTAAACCCTAATTAGTAGTTTCCACTTTCTTTTCCATTATCCCAATATAACCAGGATATAAGCCCTAGATAGACCCTGTATAATCCCTATAATCCCTATAGTTCCCATTTTCTTTTCCATTATCCCAATATAACCCCCATAGGGTCCCTGGGACTGAGCAACAGCCCCAGACACACAACATGAGTTTGTAGCTTGCTCTTCTGGACGTTTGGTAGGTCTATCTCTACACAGATCCAAACAGATCCAAATGATGACAACGACCCGCAGAAGCAACAGCAGTAGCTACTGTACTGAGCTACTGCAGGAGTGGCTGAGACAAGTAAAAAACGACAACGACTGCGGCAGCTTCAGCAGCAGCAGCAGGAGCGGATGAGACGAGTTAACAAACGGACCACTCTATCGACAGTTGTCGTTTTTGAAAATGCATAGGCGCATCCTCCTACCTGAGTTAATACTTCGGTTGGTTTTACCTCATGAGGCAGCACGCAGGGGAATCTGAAGTAAGGTCAGTTGCAGGAACAAGAATATTGACAACAGACCACATACCTTCCTGCAGTTCCTTTCTGTGGGAAACGCAGCTGTCGCGTGAAGCATTGTGAAGGTACTTTGACTATATTCGGGAAGTTACTGCTTGAGGTTGTCCAGATTCTGGCGACCTGAGTTATCAACGCTGCGTAGCAGTACTTTACATTTACCGCGGTTGGTGTCCCAACAAGAGGTCTCAACTTTGACATCTCTGCGCGGTGGCTCAGGTTATTTGGCGGCAATACTCTGCTTGAGCGCCGGCACAGGGCTTTTCTTGGTGGAGGACAGGAACACTATTCCCACCATGTCGCGCCTTGCTTGCCAGCAGCTCTACGACCTACCCTTACTGCGCACGTCCATACGGTTTCATGATGATATTCATCCGGTTGCTGAGCTTCGCAGATGTAGGCACGCTTCGTGCCTTCACAAGTTTGCAGACATGACTCGTTTGCCTGTTTGATTCACTGAATGAAGGCCATACAAGCTTATCCAGAAACCTGTTAGGCGCTTCTGCCTAACTTAGTATGCCAAAATTAGTTTGTTGTGTACAGGGGGTCCCTTCGCAATTGCAAAATATTACGAACTGCGCCATGGCGGCGCGCGGAACTCAGGAACAAGAAAGAACTATATGCTTTTGGAGGGAAATCTTAATAAGGGCTTCACGTGGCATGTCCCTATTTATCTGTTTGTGCACTTCTTGCTGCCCCTGGAAACTGCCGATTCTTTTCGAACCGCGCTCAGGCATTCCCTGTGGTTGTCTATTGTGACGATGACTACCGTGGGCTACGGAGACTTCTTTCCGAGGTCCGCCGCAGGCTACGTCATAGCCTCTGTCCTCACTTTCGTGGCTTGGTAGCCCAGTCGGCAAGCGTTAGGCCGTTTTAGTGTAGTATGCCCCCAGCCCTGACGCGTAGATCCTACACTTACCAACACTGTAACACTTGGACCTCTGACCCTCTTGCCGTAGACCCTGAACCTCTACTGCAATAGGCCAGGGTAATGGACATAAGGTGAGCATGCTTTTCTCAGCGCTTCCCGTGGGAATCATCGGCCACGAGTTCATGAATTTTGGCTAGCTTGGGGGCCACATTTTTGCTCTTTTTGAAGCCAAATGAGGTTGAGGGTCTGCGACATCCAAAAGAATATGTATACATGTATGTATGAGTCTACATATATAGACAGACACAAAAAATCCTAGTCATAACCCGCTCCAAAGTTTCTAGTCTGCCAAGTCAGGTTAAGTCTACAGCAACAAGAACTAAGGAATTGCTGGCGCAGCAGGTCCCAAGTGCTGTTGATAACCCGGCTCCGCAAGAATTTCGACAAGTGGGGCTATACCTCTCAAGACGTTCGAGCTCCTTGCCTTATATGGGAAGATAGCAACGGCCTCACCTGAGGGTGTATATTGGCACCACAAGAAGGAGAATAGCATGAATAGCATGTTGTGGTCTATCTTGGGGTTCCCCGTATTTGTTTATGGAAGTTACCATGCAGCACATATTTCTTTCATTGGATTCTGAGGTAAAGGGTTTAGGTTTAGGGGAGATTCGAAATGAAAGCTAGTGCCAGGCCCCACCAGCACTTGTTCTGTTCAGGATCAAGCCTTGGAACCGTTGAGCGTTCATTGGCTGTAGAAAAATCTGTAGGAATGAAGGTGAAGAACAGATTCTCAAAAGAATATGTAAGACTGTAACACATGTCAGTAAGCATGCAAGTTTGAGCTCTGTTGCCACAGTGTCTGCCTCTTCCGAGCTGCTTGGCATTCCAGCTTGGGCTGGACCATCAGATAAGAATGCATGTTTATGGCGGCTGACCCACAAGCGGATTTTTGAACTTGTTGGAGTATGTCCGCACCTATCTATTTGCCAGGAATCCATAGAGGTCTTTGTCTGTCGCAGCGTGCAGTTCAACAAGTCTACAGAATCGTGTGTCCATCGTCAGGGACACATGTTGCGTCACGCCGCGTGCTGTCCATAGTACTGGCCCAGATGGTGTCAACAGTGTTGCTAACAGCAGCCATGGTGACGAATAGTGAAATGAGGTATGTGATCTTACTCTAGCTTTCTTCCACCTACTTATTCAGCGGCTCCGCGAGCAGCAGCAAGAACAACATTGTAGATGCCTTTTCTGGCAGTGAGAAACACCAGGTGACTGGACCAGGTAACTAACAGACATTGTCACGTATATGCAAAAGCAGGAAGAACTGGTATGGAGTAGCTTTCCTGCACCCTAATTGGCCATGCCCTACCTCCAGCTCCACAGTTTCCATGAGGTGCTATTCGAGCACGTAGACGAGGACACAGGGATATCTTTCTCTCCAGTCGCTGTTCGTTCTGTGTTCTGTGGGTGAGGAAGGAACCGAGTGTATATGTTGTGTTCAGGTTGCGTGGGTTGAGCCTTTGTGGAGCTCCTTTGCAGTGATTCAGATGCTCACTTTCATGCTCTTTAGAAACCCGCCTTGACGCCGTAAGTGCCCAACTCCTTCAATGACGCTGTTGACTGCCAAATTGCTGGGCAGCAGACGTACAACAGCCAAAGAGCACCGCAACGCATTGCAACCCCCTAAACCCCCGAAGCCCTAAATCATTTGAAACGCCTTCTTCCGCTCAGAAGGCTAGCATGGAAGGCTTGCGAGCGACAGTGGATGGTTGAATCTAGGGCTCCAAATACCCATAGGCCTGGGTTTAGGGTTCTCACACACACATACACCCTTATGTACGCTACTACCTCCACAAAGAATACACGTGGTGTTAATACCCCCCTCTGTAGTCAAAGGTTTGATCACACTACCCTTGAAGCGATGGATGTCATGAATGACCGCGCCAGGGTGTCCTAAAACCAGACGTCTTTTCGGGGAGTATTTTTTAATAGGGATTGTACGATTTGGGGTCCAGATTGGGGCCCCTTCACTTTTGGAAACTACTATTTGTTGAAAGCCCGGCAGAAGCCCAACTCAAAGGATAGGTGAGATCCTGTCCTACACCCGAAGCCCTCCGCTCCAAGACTTATCTAAACCCTAAAACCCTAGTTAGGGTTTAGGGTACAAAGCCCAAACCTGAACCTAATGAGCCTTGTAGGCCATAACTCTAACCGAAACTCTACAGCCTCATGGCGGGGGGCGGGTGCATAAACGGGGGCGCCAAGATAAAGACACATTTCCGCTAGATCCTTATTCCAGAGACTTTCCCGAAAGTACCCTATTTTCGGAAAGTTCCACATGGGACCATTTCCGTCATCACTATTTTTACTGCTCCATTACTGTTACCCAATTACGATACGTTTGGTCTTATTGCTGCTTCATGATTCTTACGTTTGCTGCTGTTAGTACCGCGAGTACTGTATGGTTAGTTCGACTTTACTACTATGTTGTTCGTAGCGTTGTTCAAAACGATGCTCCTGTTTCTAGTGCTACCGTTCGTATCATTGTCAGCATTACTACGATCACGGCTATTGCTACTAGTAAGCCTACTTCTAACCCCTACAAGCTTTAAAAAGACTTAGGTATCCGCATTATTTACACTTGCTGCGTCCCCCTGACGGCCTAAACCCTGAACCCTAAACCACAGACCCTAAGCCCTATAAACCCTAAACGCTAAAACCCTAAACCCTATAGACCCTTGATCTCAATCCCTTGCTATGACGAAGAGGATGGCAACGGCACCTTGAACTTGGCCGAGTCTGGGTTGCTGTTGAGGAATTTATACCAGAATGGGTATATAATATATATATGTATATAGCAATCAGCACAATGGGTATATATATATATACATTAGTATGATTGCGCCATGATAGCAACTTAAATTAAGTTCCTTGAATTCCTATATTCCTCAAGTTTCCATTTCAGTTTCCATTTCTTTTCCTTTTCATACTCCATTATAGGGGGATAATATATCTAAAAACCCTAAAACCCACACCCTCTACCCTCTAAACCCTAAACCATAACCCCCCGAAACCCTAAACCCTATGTTAGTTCTTTAACAGCAACCCAGGAATTTTTGGAGCTGATCCATCAGATGAGAGTCGGGATCAGCTTCGCTCTTTGGCTTAAGGGTTTAGGGTCTAGGGCTTCGGGACAGATAGGGATACACAGGGGTATATAGGCGAAGGGAGAGGAAAACGTTAAATTCTGTAGTATTTAGGGTTCAAGGTTTAGGGCTTATGTTAGCATCCCTTTCTCCAGAATCAACATTCCCGATTTGGGAATAGTTGATCAGAGGGGAGGGGCGGCTGCGCATTATGGCGAGGGGAGTCACAAAATCAAGAGTTAGTGCACCTTGGGTAGCAGAAGTGGCTTGGGCTAAAGCTACCTCAGCTTTTTTGCTGTGTAGTCCTGCCGCAACGAAAGCAAGGGTGATTCCCCTAAACCCTAAATAGTGGTTTCCATTTTCTTTTCTATCATCCCTATATATCCTTATATTACCCTGTATTATCCCCATATTACCTACCCCCCTAGATCAGACAAATTGCAGCGAATATTTGCCGCAGCTCATCCCTCTTGTGGGGCAAGCCAAGCCCCTAACTCACCTGAGAAGAGCTTGGGGATACATTGGGACAATGGCAAAGAAAATGGAAACTACTCTTTGTATAATAATAGGGGAGACATTGGGATATCGGAAAAGAACATGGAAAATACTATAGAGTTCTGAAAGGCTTAGTAAGGCCTAGGCAGCATAAGTTTTCTAGGGTTTGAAGGCGGTATTGGTTTTCGACATGCCTCGGTTGTCACGACTGATGTGGGAAACAAGCTCAAGGGACGGCCACTGCATCTTACCATGGCAAGCCCCCAAGCGCCTCTTATGATTATTGTTACTATGTTTACTAGTTACTACAGTTATTTGTATAATGTAAGGATTTCAATTCATGATTCCTGCAATACCCTGCAGGTATCATGCTGTGTACAATTGTATAAGAGGATAGTTTGCAAGTCATCCTTCAGGTTCCTCTATCTATTCTGTAGAAGGTGGTAGGCTGAGCTCTTAAACCCTAAAAGGTCCCTGCTAGTGGCATGTGCTTCCCCCGCTGTGTAAGGACAACGCCTTCCGGATCTTCACGATTTTCGATGATGATGCGAACGATTCCCTGGATTACAACGAGTTTTTGAAGCATATCTTTCCAAAGGACCTTTGGATCCTGACAAACCTAGTCGGTGCAACTTGGGCAACCGTAGTCTTTCCGCCAATATCGTGACTTTCTGCCTTACCTGTATCTACGCGTAATCCCGCTTTGCATCCCTGCATCCCTGCTGACATTCCGTAAAAAGCTCTTAGAACACTAGGTACCCATGATCAACCATGATGCACCAAAAAGCACAGACAACTACAGACAGCTCCACTGAAATTAGGAAGCAGGAGGTGGCGAAACGGTTTTCTGGGGGTCGGATAGGGCATTCCCTAGAACCAAGCCGTACAGATATCCAAAACTAGCGCTTGCAGTTGTTGTTTCGAAAAACTTGAAGGCACCCCAGCGCCATTTCTTTTTCCACACCTGCCCTCCTATCCCCAAAGGACCTAGGAGTCAGGTAGGGGTCAGGCTTAACCCAAACATCTCAAACCACGTCGGTTGCAGGAATACGTCAGAACGCAGCTCACCCGCTGCGATCGAAGGTCAAAGGCAAAAACTGCGAAGGCTGTCTTCGAGGGTTGTTCTGGGGTGTGACGTCTGCCCAGAGGCTGCTTAGGGTCTATAGGGCTTGTTCTCGCATTTTGGTAAGGGTTTATAGCAGACTACCCAAGAAGGAATTACATATCTGCCCGGCAAGACGAACAATGCCTTCTCAGATGTCACCCATGTAGGCTTATTTGGTGCCCTAATCAGTGTTGTATCAGACGTTCGGTATTTCTGGGGTTTAGGGCTTAGGGTTTAGGATGGCTGAAGAACCTAAAGCTACTAAACTCATCACCTTGTTGCTCTGCAGAGTGGTGTTTTGCATCATGAAATGTAAGATTCCCGCAGAGTCTATTACAGCTGGGAGACAAGTTCATTGCACGTTGCAAGTATATGTTGCAACATGAGGAAGGTGGACAGACGATTAGAAACAATGTAAGAGCAGGAGTAGCACCACTACATGTTCAAGGGCTGTACCGAGATGGGCTATGGATCCGCTGGTGAATGTGCAAGAGAAATCAAGATTGCCTTCCGTGGCAGTATTTCCACGCTGGACGGCAAATCTGCAAAACCATACCCGAACACGTCGCGAAGTATCCTTGTAATTCGCCTGAGTCAAACACGGCAATCCCTCCAGTCTTAACAGTGCCCGGAGAGTTGGGCGGGGGGCGCGCGGGCAGAGCCACATGCCCCAATGAGTTCACTGCAGAAACTATAGCAACCAAATGAAAACCACCAGTCGGTGTTGCAAGCTACAGTTTACGCAGGAAATGGTAATTTCTTAAAAGATCTCAAAGCCCCACTGATTATGAATCCCCCGGCCGCGAGCGGCAGGATTACAACTGCTTGGCACCAAGAATTTGGGAATTAACAATAAATAGGGAACCCCAACATACGCCCAGTAATACCATGATCCTTATTATGGGAACCCCCCAAAATGGTACCCCCAATTCTGGGAAAACAATTCGGACTGTTCTTCAGCAAGGCCAAGTTTCTCAACCGACCAACCGACTTGCTTCAGAGGAAAGTTGCGTCCCCAAAGAAGATTGTATGTCAACAAACAACATCCTGAGGATCAGTAGGGAATATGGGAGTCTACTCCCTATATCATTCCGGATATGGTATATCCCCATCTATCCTACCAATCCCATGTAATATTCCGATTTTCCAATAGATCCGACCAACCCCCAGTAAGGCTTGCCAAGCACATGACTAAGCGTACTGGTTGTTAGCAGGGTTATAGAAGGATAATGGAAAAGACACTGGAAACTAATACTCTAGAAGATGGTGTGTGTATATATATATATATTGAGGTTCTAGTAGGGAATAAGGGAGTATATCAAATAAGACAATATAGGGATTGTCTTCCCACATTTCCTACTAGCAACCAGTTAGCTAAGCATTCTGGATTCGTACTTTGAGCTGGCTTCATCATGACAACTTTCAAAACCAACTCTCTAGTTCCGGGCTCTTGCATCCTGGTGTTCATTCAGATCCCGGGGAGAAATTTGCAGTTCAGATCTGTATGAGTAGCGCAACGGGAACCCGGATTGCCGACTTGATGTTCCTGTTCCCCAGGGGGTTCAAGAGTAGTATGGTCATCCTGCACAGTCGTCAAGCTCAACATCCTGACCACTTACTGGCCGTACTTCAGGTCAAGCAAGAGAATTCATGTAGTTACGCTTCCAGGGTGAGCTGGATTTTTTGTTGGCTCCTCGTCATCAGATGGAGGCTATGGGACAACTGGGCCAGCTTGCCAGAGGCGTTTCGCAACTTGTCTGCCTAGTTGGGTGCTTCCTAAACTTAGGGTCGACCATGGCATCACCGACTCGTTGGAATCCTGGTTAGAGGCAGTCCCTAAGTCTCAAAAGGACACAAACCCTGAATCCTAAATAGTAGTTTCCATTTTATGTTCCTATAGATAACCTTTATCTATAACACAACCCAATCCCTTAATGCCGAAGCCATCGTTTCAACTTCAGGGTGCCTGCGTGTCTTCTTGCGCCAAGGGAGAATGTGAAGTTTGGGTGTATGTGGTTTGGGTTCTGGGCTTTGGATGCACGATGAGGCAGTACGAGGCGTCCTCACATGTCCAGCACGATTTGCAAAGTAATCGCAATCATGTTGCTCAAGATGAGTGCGGCGGTTGGGCCTCTTCCCCCCTCTTACATAAGGTTTCTCTTCATGAGTTCTTTCCCCCGAAACAGGCACTCCTGCCTCTAGCACGCCCAACACCACACACTACAGACCCTCATTGCGGGAACATGGCATCTGCAAGGGTCCTGAAAATATTTGTTAATTTCTGTTACCAACAATCTTAATATTTAGCTAAAATTTTATTTTCTACTGGTGTTCCAAATCCCTTAGAGGCATTCCTTCCTGGCCAAGGTAACGGGCTCAAGCGAGAGGCGGGATGTGATTTCGGAGCTCTACCGCCTGAGTTCACAGGTACCCAGGGCTCCCAGACCGACGATATTTCTGGTGTATAGGTTTAGGGTTTAGGGTTTAGGGTTGGTTTGTGTTGAACCTGAGAAATCTGCACTTTGCTGTTACGAAGGTACGTTTCTCTCTGAAGCATTAGAGGGTCTGAAGCCTCCACTTGGCCGTACGTAGTCGTAACCGTATCCAGACGTATACATACGGAGATACGTAGGCGTATATGTGTCTTCACGCGTTCATGTATTGTTGTGTATACAGATATAACCCTGTCCCCTCATACTAAACGTCTCCACCCCTTAAGGTATATACGCCCGCCCGTATTTCATATCGGGGGGGGGGGGTATTTATCGTACGACCCGACAATTAGGGGGTGTAATTCAAATCTTACTAAAATCGTACAAAATTGGATTACATCTAATAAAGGGCGTTATTCGGGACCATTTCAAATTGGGGGTCTTATCAGTGACTATTCCAAATTAGGGCCTTATGAGGGATTATTTCAAATTAGGGCCTTATTAAGGATTAGTTCAAATTAGAGCCTTATCAGGAACTGTTTCAAATTAGGGCCGTATTTGGGACTAGTTCAAATTAGGGCCTTGGAATTTGTTGCTGGAATTATTCTATATACATTCCTTTATACAAGCCATTCAAAAACAATCAAAATCTAGGAAATCAAGGAGATCCCAAATCTTTAAGAGTCGTGCCAAAACACCCCCCTAGTTCGAAGGATCCGAGATGCAATCAACTTTAGTCTTGGCCCTTTTAAACATAGTCTTGGGGACAGATTTCAGGATTCGGAAGTTTGGCGAACCCATATTTAATATTAGGGGGGGGGGGTTAGTATTGGTGGGCAACGATTACATACGTACATTCATTCATACATCCACACATACAGACACACGTGCTCTTTGTGCACCTTACTTGGAGAGCTCAGCGCCTGACTTTGCCCACCTACTCATTGCTTAAGATTGAAGGTCTGGTGGCCCTGGGGAATCGATTTTGGCCGTAGCTTCATTGTGTGTTTCAAGTGGGGAGTGCGAAACTTCTTCAGGCCCTGCAGTTGAAGTCAACTCTATACCTACTAGACGGTGGTTCCCCAAATCAGGGATACCTATTTGGAGGTCCGTGTAATGCGGATTCTTGTATTTTGGGGTCTACAACAGGATCGCCGAATTCAGGGAAACTACCAAAGTTTCCCAGCTTTGTGCAACGTCGGTTCTGGGATTAAGGATTAGGGTGCATGGACTAGGGTTTAGGATTTGCGGTTTAGGTTTTTTGGGGTGTATAGTACCAAGTATACTAGCCACTGCAGTCAGTATCAAGACGGTAAGCACAGGAGGCCCATAAGTTTGAGCAACATCTCCTTGATTGCAACTCCCCTTTGCAGGGTGGCCTCCAATTCCCTTCTATATGATTTTATATACTACGGTTGTCTGTGCTTACAATGGAAACCCTTACTGTTAGTTACTTGGCTTTGGAAGGTCTTGCCGGAAGTGCCCCTCACTTTCTGCGGCTCTAGGTCTATTTTTGATTTGGTTACTAAAAATTCTGCATGGCCCTAGGTACCCTGTAGGTACCCTGTAATTTTGGAATTTGGCTACTAAGTATACTACTTTAGCATCAAAAATAGTACCTACTTTGGCCCCTGCATTTTATAAACAGTACTATGCGGTCCCTACTTTAGACCCTGAACTCTACCTTGGTCCCAAAACATAGTGCCTACCGCGGGCTCTTGCTACGAAAATTACCTACTTTGGGCTGTTTGGAGCGCGTCTGAGGACCCGTGCTGGAACCATTTTACGAGCCCTAGCCCCTACGGTTTAGGGTTTGGGGCTTGGGGTTTACGGTTTAGTTCCAAGCCCTGAAGAACTTAAGTTGTAGGTAGGCATCCTATACAAGGGTCAATAGGGTTGTTTATGGAGGACGACATAGGGATCATGTAGGGGTTCTATAGGGGTTATGTAGGGGTTGTAGAGGGTGCCGGGCTAAGGGATATAACATCTAACCCAAGAATGGAGAA